GCAGGAGCTATGCAAGCGTCCTTTTCCCTTGGTGTCACAGACAAAACCATCCTTTTTTGAGGAGGAAGAGAGTTTAGCTGTGTGAGTGAAATGTGCTCAGAGCCATGCATCAGGAATCTCTCGCAATCAGGCCCCAGGGTGAGCCTCAGCTGATTTTCATCCCTGGTGGAGGATCAGCCAAAGAGTGACGCTGGCTTCTGAACCCACTGCTAGAACCCACGCGTAGCCCATTTTGTGCCAACTCTGGCTCTGCATGGGGCCGCCTCCCAAGGTCCCATCTATCCTAAAATACCCTGTGATTCTGTCCATTTGATATACAGCTTCCTGTAAGACTTTCTCTCTCCATCATCAAGTTGTATTTAGCTTAATTACAACCCTAGGAATTTGGGGATATTTGTTTTAAGCCAACATTTTCATTTGGTTGGCATATGATTTTTTTTTTCATCTTCAGTGGAGCTGCTTTCTGAGAGGACAGTTTTGAGGTATTTAATGTACTTGGTAATTTTCTGTTTACTTGTATGTTTAGTCATTCCTACTGCAGTGCTTCCTGAGATGTCTTTTAAAGTATTTTCAAGCACTTAATTCTGTTCAAATAATCTTTCATGAATATTTTGCCCCATATGGAAATTCACATTCTAACAGCAAGTTAATTAATTTCATATTGAATAGCAGAATGGCGTTATAATAAATCCAGTGTGTGGAAAAGTGTTTGTGCTAGACCTTGACTGCATTTGAAATGGCCATTAGTTTTGAGGCTTCTTACACTGGGAACTTCCATCTGTTCTAGTAAGAAAGATTTAGCAATTGCAGATTAAAGTTTCTGATATGAAAGTAAATTCAAAAACTGGAATTTTGCAAGGTGTCTCCTTTAGCTGCTTAAATAACTTTTCCCTTAAGCCCTCCTACCTATGAAATATCTTTATTTTGGAAAAAGCTGGGATTGTGAATAAATCGGACCTTACCTCAGTGTTGGGTGTATTTGCACACTGTAGGCTCTCCTAAATTCATTCTGCTTGCCAGTCAGATTACCGTGGTGTAAGTTTACATTAAAAAACTGTAATTCCCTCATGTACAAATTCTTTTTTACCTTACGGTCAACATGGAGTTAATGATCTCTTGGCTGACTCAGAGTTGCAGACGTGAGTGAATGTTTAAAGCAGAGATGTCTTGTTTGCTAACACATTTATTGAAGAACAGACTCAGTTCAACATAGGTGGAAAAATATGAAAGTGAGTGTGGAAGACAAGTTTGTCCTGCTCTGCAGGTCCAAAACACTTTCCATTTTATGTCTGCTGTGTTACTACATTTGGAAATGAGCAGTAAATTCTGAGGGTTTTTTTGCTTTCTAATCTGTTCTGTTTCGGTGCAGGCCTTGGAGGGAGGGCTTTATCTGGGGTTTTCTTTCTTTTCGATTCGTGTTTCTCTTTGGTAAACATAGTTGACAAGAACCTTTGGTCTTTTTTTGTTATTATTTGCATAGATGACAAAGGAAATTGTTGAAAGGTTCTGCTGTTGTATTTTGGGAACAATGATCTTGCCAAAGTTATTAAAGTTGGGTTAGGTTGTTGCACTGTGTTCTTTAGAAGGCTAACCCTTGAAACATCACTGAAAACTGAATGAAGAGCAGACATTTTTTTGTCAGGGCACAGAATCAGTGGTCTGTGATGTGCACTAACTATCAGCTGATTTCTTGATGAAATTTGAGATGTTACTCTGATTTAGAAAGCTCTGTGTTAATGGGATGCTCTTTTCCCAAAAAGATTTCCTCCCCATCTCCTTTAATAAGTACTAGACTTTATTTATTAGCAGTTTTCATTTCCATTTATAAATTGAAATGGGAGGCAGGATGCTATTTCTGGGGAGGATAGGTCTAGGGGTATGTTAGTGTGCTTCCTGCTGTGGTTCAGAAGAGCCTGAATGTGATGACTCTTCAAGACCAGTTTGCAAAACCTTGCTCAAGTGGTGCTTGAGTGGCACTGATTATTTGAGGGAAGACAGCAAGGCCATTTTAGACTCATCTTGCTTTGTGAAGGTCTGCATTAACAGATTTGTAGTGCTTTTTCAATGTAACAAGTTTGTGTGCAGGAAGGCAGTGGGGGTCTAAGTCAAGTACAAGATGCCTGGGCATTGTAAGCAGATGAGAGCAGTGGCATTGCTCTCCTCTGTCTGCTATCCCTTGTGCCACAGATCACAGGCAGCATATTGGCTCATAGCTTCTGCCCACAGCCTCCCTCTGAAAATGTGACCTCCTTGTGTGACAGAGGATGGATAGAACCTGTGGGACAGACTCCCTGCAAGCAGCGTGGCAAAATATGTCTGTCTTTACTGCATCTTCTTTGTTGGTGTTTATGCATCTTATTTTCTTCAGAGTCTACATTACTTGTGAAATTTCTTATATGTTCTAGATAGAAAAAGCTTGCTTTGTTTGTTTCAGGCTATTTTTCAGTAACTTTTTAATATTTTTGAATATAATTTTAATAAAAATGTATTTATGAGCCTAGTCTTGATCTGAATGAAGATAAATATTCTGAAAAGATAAAAAAATAAATTATCTGGACTGATGACTGATACTTTTTTGTATTTCTTTACTATGTTTTGGTTTTACCTGTTAGTTGCAGTGTTTCCTTTTGTATCTGACTAGGAAGCTAGGATTGCTTTAGTAAGTTTATGTGTCTATGTGTGTGGTGTTGGAAAATTACTATACAACTGCAAAAATATGTCATTGTTTTGGAACTTGGAATTTTTTTCTTTTTACTGTTTTTTAAAGTGCTTTCTTTTAAAAAAAAAGTTAGACTTTATAAAACTGTAATTTATTTGCAGTTCTTATTGATATGAAAATATTTTTGGGAACCTATTCTTTATAACGTGCATATTTGTAACAGTTTGGAAAAAGAAATAAGATCAAAAAATTATTAATATCTACCAGGTGGTCATGTAAACTGAACAGACTAGACTATTGCTTTAAAAATTATATTGACAGTTATTTGCTTGCTTACTGTTTAACTTCAAATATTTAAAACATTATTGTAGTTATATACACCTAAAAGTATATTTTTAAAAAAAGCCACATCATGTTTAGTTTAAAGTTATACTGAGAGGATGAATTAGGTGACCTAGTTACAGGCAGAGGAGAATGGGGTGGAGAAGATAAGAAACAAGAGCTTTGATGAGTGCTCAGTAGAAAAAAAATAAGTCAATTAAATGACACCCTGGGATAAAGCAAATTCAAAGGAAGATTCAGGAACTGGAGAAGAATTAAAACTACCTAGGTTTGGTGGGCTAGAAATGTAGTTACATGGACAATGTATGTGTTGTATCCATAACAATTTATTAATGATACTGTTTGCACCTTTTCCCATTTTGACATCTAAAATATGCCAAAATTGTTTTTTCACTACCTACTTTTTAAACTCATGTTGTCAGAATTATGACATTCTCATTTTCCTATCTCACTAAAAAGCCATAGTTGTGCCATATCAGCACTTCATCATTCACAGTTTCTTCTGTCTTGCACAAGCCCAAAGGAAACAAAAATTATTTAAATAAATGTTCAGAATTAGCTGGTATATAAGGCTTGGTAAACAACTTCAAATGTGGTTTTCCAGAATGATGACTATAGCCAGTTGCTGCTAACATGGTGAAGGCTCATGTTTCTGTAATAACTGGTATTCATTTAAAGTTGTTCAATGAAAATATCGGTTTTGAGTACAGAAATTATATATAAAAATGTCAAGGGGATGGCTGGCAGGACGTGTGAGAGTGTGCAGGTGGCTTTTCTAGTTGAAAGCTTTTGGGCATTGAGATGGACTGTTCCAGGAGATGTCAGAGATCTTTGGCTAGATGAAAGGGAATAGTTGAGCTTATATAGAGTAATCAGAAAGCTGCTGGGGATTGGTTTGGAGCAGGAAGATGCTCTTGATGCCAGATGCCTCAGTTCATCAAAACAAAGGAAGTTTTGCTACTCTGAAGAGAATAAGGCAAAACTAGGTGTGTAGGAAGAAACCTGAGAGTCTCCGAGGCTCAAAACTGGGATATATTTGTCTGAGAAAATGCTGGGACTCTGGGGAGGCAAGAACCACCTGTTCACTAACCAGTCATTAAAGCGTGCGTGGTAAATGGATAATTACTGTGAATAGTAGGAATCTTCATGCTTTAGCTTGTCTGATGCTGTCACTTCCAACTGTATCTCTGGGACAATTTTGTAGTGCAGACTGTTACTGGAAAGCATGTTTTGCAAGAGCTGTTTGCCTTCCAGGAGCAATCCCAGAGTTCATTGCTGGTTCCCTTGGTAATTTCACATCCTCTCATCTTTTTGAATATTGTTTACCATGCCTGCAGCAGCTACCCATAATAACCTCTTACCAGATTCTCTAGATGTGAATTCATTGCCTTTTACACGATAAATTTGTTTGGTTTTCATTCAGCAGCGTACTGCACATGTGGGTCATGTGGGTGTCTAGTATGTCTAGTACCTGTCTGATGTACATTACTAGAATGAAAATTTTTTGACAACAATTTTTAATACCATTTGACTTTTCTTGTTGTGCTAAAAACATTTATTTTTTAAGAAAATGGTATTGTAATAAGAATAGAGACTGTTTTATGCAGTAGTATATCTTTGACAATGTAAGGAAAATTTAATAGGGCAATAATACTTGAAAATAGCCTGGTTAATAATTTAGGTGACTTGCAAATTCAGATGCAAGTCATGCTGAACCCTTTGGACAGGAGCAGGTACACAAAAATAATGTTGATATCTTTGTATTCCTTTGTAATGTCTTGAGAAAAAAATTATTAGTTTATGAAATGGCGTTTTAATTTTCTCAAGGTACAATGCCTAATAACATCAGATTGATTTGTGAGAAATTCCGCTGTATCTTACACCTTTCCAGCTAGAACAGGACAGAGGATAAAAGATGGTTTTTTTTGACCACCTGTTTTTCAAAACTTTCTCACAGTCTGCAGGAGAAAGAATTATGCTTGTTTTTTGCTATTAACAGGCCAAGCTCTGATAACAGGCGCCACAGCATCCGGGAGAGGATGTCCACTACCAACGAGAAAGGGAGCCTGTCCATGGAGTCCACCAAGGAGACCCGGTACTGTGCTGTCTGTAACGACTACGCTTCAGGCTACCATTATGGGGTCTGGTCTTGTGAGGGCTGCAAAGCTTTTTTCAAAAGGAGTATTCAAGGTAATAAACCGTTCAAGTGAATCACCTTTGCTCTTTACTCTTGACGAAACTGTGAAGCTACTTGAGATTGCAGCCTGAGCCCAGGACAGTGACATTTACTGGGTTTTCATTAACAGCTGCTGTGCTCTTCCATATATTTTTAGGTCTGTATTTGGTGAACGCTTCTAGCAGGTATACAATATGTTGTTATTCCAAGATTAACGAGGGAAAGAAAAGCTTCTCTATGTTGTGCTTGTGGTAGGTATGCCTGACTGTGGAGGCAGTGAGAAATCTAATTAAAAGACCTGCATTGGATCAAGATGACCACTCTTTCAGGCTATGTGTGATTATCCAAAACAATTTTTTTGCTTTTAGAATTCCCTGTCAGATGAAGATTATTCATGTCGATTGATTTACTAAACATAATTTAGTGCTCCATTAGCAAAATGGTTTTATCCAAACCTCAACTCCTTGAAGATGTGAGATGTCTTTTGAGAACAGATTTTGAGAGGAATGTTTCCTTGATTAAATAGAATTTGTATCTGTCAGCAAAGCAGAGCTTTGAACTATACACAGAATGGTTTAGTTCAGAGTCTTGCCGGGGCTAAAAGTATACTGTGCAAAGTGTCCAGTGGGGTAAAGGGCATGTAACAGAAACAGTGCTAATTACTGTGACGGTGATAATTCTTGATTTAAATACCTGTCACTCTGTGGAACGAATACTTTTTTGCTTTGTTCAGCATCTAAACTGTGTAAGAAGTTAAGTGTGATTCTACTGAAAATACAGATACTGTTCAGTATCTGAGTCTTATTTTGAAGAAGAAAATAAGATTTCTTCCTTTCCAAACAGAAAACTAGTAAAGCTCCAGGCTTTAGTTAGGTTTCTACAGTTTTTTAAATCTCCAGGTGATATATAGGCACAAAAATTACTGTCGCTCCTTTTTTGAAGTAAACACAGTGTGAAACAGCTTTTACCTCATATCACAAGGTGTGATTATTGCCTGTTTTGTTGTATGACTACCACTGAGGTGAATTAAATAAGGCTTCCAGCATTCAGCTCAGAATCTTCCTCTCCTTAAAGAAAAAAGTGAAAGATTGTCTGTGGGGTAGACATTGGTGAAATGATTTGAATGTCAGTGATTAGTTAATAGTTACTTGTATTTCTGCTTTTCCAGACTCTTCAGAATGATTTTTAGAAAAGAGAATAGTTACAGCCAGAGTTCAATAATAAGCAACATTGGTGGGAGAAAGGGTGAAATGCTTTTTTTTTTTTTTTTTTAATATGAGAATGATTTACTTAAACTTGTGATGTATGCAGAACAGCTACCTTATTGAGTGTTTTTCATTATTTTTCATTTTGAGTCCCTGACCAAATCAGAATTATTCTTAGAATTTTGAAATTCTGTCCTCGTACTTGAAGTGAACTAAGCAATAAAGTGAAAATTGAAATATTCTTAAGCAAAAGTAAGAGTTAATTATCAAGTAATTTTACAGCACTGATCTTCAGCTTTTGGCCATTATGGAAGAAGAAATTAATCTGATTATTTCATTAAGTTCCACAGTTCTACGTCAGCACTTGGGTGATTTGGCCGTAGTGTCCATTGTGGTCTTTCACAATGCATCTGTTCTCTATTTTTGCTGCAGTATATGGTAATTAGTAAATTTAGTTCTTGATACATTTATATACTTAACATAATTTTTATGTAGGTAAGCTTTAAAAATTTAAAGCTTAAGTTACCAGTGTTACATAAAATACCTTCCTTGATCTTTAAGTCATGTTTGCTCTAATTTGAGCTCATTGCTTCTTGCCCTATCCCTTGTGGGTATGAGGAAGGCCTATTACAACAACCTTTTACATAGTTGAAAACTGTTATCGTAGCTTTCCTCAGTCTTCTCTTTTTTTAGACTAAACAAACTCACTTGTTTCAGTAGAACATGCTTTCTAGACTTCTGATTCCGTTTGTTTGTTTGAGGAGCTGATGCTCCTCTTTCGTGGTTAAAAGCTATTGTAAAAAATGACATCCACTAATATAAAAAAGTAATTAAAAAATATGAGTACTTATGAGAGAATTGTGATCACTTGATCACACTTGGTATGACAAGTCCTTTAAAGGACTTTTAAAGTCATTGGTACCCAATCTTGATGAACTAAGGGATTTCTTGAATTTCCTACTGGATCTGGAAGAGATCTCTACCCCAGCAACTACACATTCTTGTTGGACACGTGTTCAGTTTTCGGAAATGACAGTAATTTTTAGATTGATAATATACGAGAAAACATGTCATTTACATTGCAGATGGTAATAGTTTTAAATAGGTTTAAATAGTTTAAATAGGTGTAAAAGAATATGTGAACTAAATATTATTATATCTACATTGTGTGTATATATATATATATATATATATATATATATATATGCATTCCTGAAAAAAAAGACAGAAATTTCCTGGGAATCATGATTGAACTGTACTGAGGTACACAGGACTTCTATAAAAAGAAGTAACACAGAATGCTTTCAGCAAAGATTTTTGTTGTAGTTTGTAGTGTGTCTTTCTTTAAATGCAAGATAACCACACAACTTTTGTGCTTTGCTGTCCTGTATTTCTCAGTATTTATTTAGATGCAGAGGTGATTGGTCATTTTAATACTTCTCATCAGAGGTTTCATAAGAGAACTGCTATAGTGAAGTTTGATGTTCTTAATAGACTATCAAACATTTTATATGGTTCTTAATAGAACCTCAGGAAAAAGTGAGTACAGACATGAACAATGGACAGGCTGTATGGAGTAATCTGTTTCCTCCCTGTGGATCCGTTATTCTCAGTGATATCTGACATATCTATGCTTACTTTCATAAGTATATACTTAAATTTTGTGAAAACTTACATCTGCATTTGACCTTACCTGTGGTGGAGATGGATAGCCTCATTTTTATCCAGGGGAGCTGGAATGGTTCTAGAAATATTTTGTAAATTTTAAATGTTTTTCTTTGCTGTCAAACAGTTAACGTTTAAAAGGCAACCTGAATTAGTAGCTGTCTCTCAATCTATGCAACTGCTCAATTTTGTTTAAACAACAGATGGTTGGTGGAAAATCTCAGCTGCCTTCTGAAACTGCTCATGTCATCTATTTTGTTAGTTTATTAGTTTGTTAGTTAATCCCAAAAGTGATTTGGGACCTTGTTTTGAGAAAGCTCTGTGCAGACTGTTATTAATATATAACAGAAAGTCATTTGACACCAAGAACACTGTGTTGCTTGGTGATAGAAGAGTGCCTTATTCTTCACCCAGCGTATGTAGCCTTCAGAAGTGTACTTGGTCAACCGGCTTGAATGCAGAAGCATAACAAGCAGTCACATCACAGCACACTGTACTTCTTTACTAAAATATTTATAGATTTTAAGACCAAGAAGAGCCATTAGATCATTAAGTCTGGTCTTCTCTCAGTACAACTTTATATGCTATCCATGTACAAAGCCCAGTAACTTGACGGCTCAAGAGCTTTCTTACAATGATTGCTTTTTCTAATGATTTGTCCTCCCATCTGCTAAAAAATTACCTTTCTAATTTGAATTATTTTGGCTTTTACATCACATCCATGAACCAGACTTAGTATCTAGTATCCCTCTCCTGTGGGAAGTTCTTATAACCTAAGTCGTTACAATCAAATCACCTTGACATCTTAAGTGAACTAGAATCACAGAATCAACTAGCTTGGAAAGGACCTTGAAGATCATCTAGTCCAACCAATGTTTCAAAAATGTTTCAGTCTCCTGCTGTACATCTTTCTGTCTCCTGAGTCCTTTGTCATCACATCTTTTCTGATACCTCCACACCCATAATAATCTCTTTAAAATTTGGATGTCAGAATTGCATGAAATATTTCAACATCAGCCTTACAAATGCCATTTACAAATTAAAAATGCCATTGTGACTCACACATTCTTTCCTCCTCCTTCTAATTCTCTTCGGTTTTGGATAGCCAACCAGAGGGTGCAGGACAGGAAGGAATTAACTCTTACCATCTCTGACAAGCATTCAACAAATGCCTACCCGTGTGGGGCTAAAAACCCCAGTGGGAGCACAGGAGATTCAGAACAAACAAGGGGTAGGTAACTCCTTACACTGGAGGGTATCTTAATCTCAGAAGTGTTAATGTATTTTAGAAATCCCCGGTTCTATTTCCCTGCCTCCTTCATATGCCCTTCTGATTCCTTCAGGTGCACCTCTCTGCTTTTTCTCACAGTTGTATACTTAGACAAAAATCTGGGATATTTCAGAAATATTCAGTTAAGAATTACTGCGTGATGGGAGGCAATACTGATCCAGCAAGAACAGGTTGGCAGTGGATGAATAGCCACTGGATGAATAGCCAGGGATTCCAGAGGCCTGCTGTTAATGTCTTAATCACAAAGATATAGTGATCTCCAAAGTGCAGGAGTTCTTAAAGCTTGGAATTATTTAGTTGTGTGTCTTGAACATGGATTTTATTTAACAGTTATACCTTCTGACCATCAAGTAGGAGAGTTTTGGCAGTAGACTTTGAGTGTTATCAATTAATTTCACAGTGATTGAGCTGTATTTAGTTGGAAGTATGCAGTTTAAACTTTAATGCTAGGCGTAGTGGTAATATATACATATTGTCATCTGAATTGGAGAGAATTTCACTGGTGAAACATGCCTAATAAGTGGGTGTTTAGGTAATGCTGCAGTGCAGAAATTCAATATTGTCAATTTGGGAGGTTTCTGAGATCTTTGCTTTAACTTTCCATTATTGTCTTTGTTTTCATGGTATTTTTGTAATCTGTTTAATAATGGCTGTAGATGATGCACAGATCCTGCAGCCAAGATGACAGAAACTCCCTAGTAAGACTGCTTGAACACTGATTTTATGAGTTGTCAGCAGAAAAAGCAAAACTACAAAACATGAACTTAAGTGAGACTAGCAGAGGTAATCACAGCCAGTAAACAGGTGGCTGCAGACAGGTATCTAGTCTCAGGGTGGAAAACACATGGTTCCA